CTACATTTCTCTAATCTCAATATTACAATAATAGTTATATTAAAAGAATAAAGTCAGTACTATGAAATTAGATTGAGAACAGTCAATATTACAAGAATAAATTCGAAATAATACGAGAAGGGGCGTAATATTGACAATAGCTATACTAGCAGAACAAAGGAACAACTTTGACAAAACAGTCATATTATGACAATAGTCATACTATTAACAAAATAAAGGCACAATTTTACCAGAAGAAAATCGTGAAATTACAAAAATAAAAATCGTTTTGAGAAAAAAAAAAGCTTTGCTAGTTCTGAAGGTTTGAGGTGAGCAGATTGTTCAGCTGTACAGTCAACATGTAAGCTAATGTATTGATAAGTTTTTCCTTTAACAAACAACTTTTGTCTCGTAATTCTGACTTAATAACTAGAAAAAGAAAGGTTTTAGTCTGGCCCTAATACAGTGCTCTGTCATACAATACAAAACAATTTTGAACCTACTAATGACACACCACACAGTATTACAATTTTTATTTTATTTGTGTTACTGAATTGTAATTACGTTAAAAACAAAACAGCACAGTCACTACAGCATGATGTTTGCGTGAATAACAAGAGAAAGAGTTTATCTAAATGCCTGAACATGAGTCACGTCACTTTCACGGTCATTTCAATCCAGACTCTGAAGAATCCCCATGAACAGAAATAATCTACAGCTCAGCCCTTACAGGTCTAAAACCTCTTCACTTTACTAAGTTTGTGGTAACGCCAAATGTTTTCCTTCCGGAGACGTCTATAATACGCCCAGGAGCCAGGTTCCAGATCCTGGAGTGTCAGGGGTTTCCCCAAGTTCAGCTCGAACAACCTAAATGAGTCATAACAGAAAAAAAACCGATGAAATACACCTGATATCTTTCAAACAACTGCTTTCAAATCTTGTCCCTAAACTCCCCCTGATGTGTCCCTCATACAGTGTCAGTAAAAAAATATATTAAAAACAAACAAAAAAAAAAGTAGATTTTTTTTATCTCCTCTGGGGAAGTTTCTCTTCCTTTTTTTAAACAGAGGTTTCAGCTCTACAGTGAAGAATTAAGCCCAATACCCAGTCAGTTTCTCTCTAATTCACACCTTCATGATTATGAGCAAAACATTTCTCCTGTGAGCGAAGTTCACCATCATGACTCGCCATGAGGCAAGTCTCTTCTTTATCCTCAAGTCCTGAGTCAAGTCTCAACTAAGTCTCATCTTTATCCTCGAGTCCCGAGTCAAGTCTCAAGTAAGTCTCATCTTTATCCTCAAGTCCTGAGTCAAGTCTCAAGTAAGTCTCGTCTTTATCCTCAAGTCCCGAGTCAAGTCTCAAGTAAGTCTCGTCTTTATCCTCAAGTCCCGAGTCAAGTCTCAAGTAAGTCTCATCTTTATCCTCAAGTCCCAAGTCAAGTCTCAAGTAAGTCTCGTCTTTATCCTCAAGTCCCGAGTCAAGTCTCAATAAGTCTCGTCTTTATCCTCTAGTACTGAGTCAAGTCTCAAGTAAGTCTTGTCTTTATCCTCAAGTCCCGAGTCAAGTCTCAATAAGTCTCGTCTTTATCCTCTAGTCCTGAGTCAAGTCTCAAGTAAGTCTTGTCTTTATCCTCAAGTCCTGAGTCAAGTCTCAATAAGTCTTGTCTTTATCCTCAAGTCCCGAGTAAAGTCTCAAGTAAGTCTTGTCTTTAAACTCAAGTCCCGAGTCAAGTCTTAAGTAAATCTTGTTAATGCTGTTAAAGCTTCGCTCTGTGAGACGTGCAGTGGGACGGAGGGAGGAAATGATCCTGCATCACGACGTAACTTTTCTACAGCGGGAGGGAGAAATTTTGTGGATTTACTCTGCGTGTTTTAAAATGCTATATTTCTTCGTTATATTTCGAACTCTTCCTGCTCATAAATTTTGTTTATGGATGTAAAAGTAAAAGAAAAAAAAACGTCCACATTTAACAACTACGCAGATCCTTGAAGTAGTTTTAAATGTTGTTAACAGAGAGGTACAAATTAAATGTAAACAGCAGAAATAAAGTAATGTGTGTACTCACCAGTCAGGGTATTCCTCACGAGGCTTCAGTTTAGGGTCTTCTCCCTGTTTTAGGATGTTGACCCCCACTGCATAGGTTGTAAGTCGGACTGCATCTTTACACACCTCTGGCTCCTTCAGCTCCTCTGTCGCCATAGCTCTACCCTTTTTGAACCCTGAAAAAAGAAAAAGGAAAGAATTCAATATTTAGATGATTTCTGTAGGGATGTTGACATTTTGTCAGCAGCTGCTGCCGTTTTCTTCCCAAACTGCTGTGACCAGATTTTGCAAGGCTGCTCGGTGCGTTTGCTTGTAATTTCCTCCTGCTTCGTTATTTCTATAAATTTCAACATATCGGGCTGCCGTCAGGTCGTTAGCTACAGCCTCATCTTCCAGTTTTTAATTTTTGTTGATGCGTTTTGAAGAGACAATTTTTTGAAAAGAGGATCAAAGGAAATCACCCGAGTTTTTCTAGTGACCCCTTAAAGAGGTAAGCTGCCATGAAGAACATTATTTTATCTGCCCTTATTCCAAATTTGATAATGATTTGAAACGTCGAAGTATGTTTTTTTTTATCTGGAACAGTGCTTGTTGCAAAGTGTTTTGATGCTCGTCTTCGTCACTTGACACATTTAACACTGTCATTGGTTGAGGAGCTTTGTTTACAAAACAGATGTCCACATGGTTTTTAAATTGTTTTAATTTCCTTACTTTCTAAGACACATTAAGTTGATTTGATGCTACAGTTTGCCTTGTAATGTTATTTTATACCTTTTCTGCTACTTTTGCATTGGCTATTATTAAGTTTTATTAGGTTTTTAAGGATACAAGATGCTTCCTACAAAAACCAGAATGTGAATCTTTTCCTAAAATTTCATGGCGATATCTTGAACACTGAGGAAGTTATGAGCAAAAATAGAAAACAGCAAGGTGAAATGGTCACATTGGTTCTGCTGTGAACTGCAGCAAGAAAACATGAGTTGATTTCACCTAAACAAACATCAATAACTTCCCTCATACTTCATATCATCACAGGACTTTGGTGTTATTTTGTATGGTTTGAAATGGTTCTTTTGGAATCCGCTGTCAGGTTTAATATTGGTGTATGATTAAAAATTTATCAGCATCCCTAATTTCTGGTTGAAAGAAAGAAAACAATCCCCGCCATTAATTACAATACTAAGTGAAGATGCTGACACAACGAGAGAAGACATTTTCAAATAAACAAACTAACTCCAGCATGTTAACACCAGCTTAAAGCTAAGCAGCTCTGAAAACGTGGATAAAAGACGTGTCCTTTATCACTTACCAGCAACTTTCCTAGATCCACGTGTCTGTGTTATGTATAACATACCCGTCTTTCTCAGTAACACTGCTTTGCTTGTGAAACATAGTGTTGACGGCACTACTTTTAATAAACTGTAGCCTAACATTTTTAGCACACCACGCTACAATGTCACTTTCATAAATTCGTCCGCTTCCGTTTTCCACCTTGTATTTGGCTGCTTCAGCGAAAACACCGCCCCCTGCGGAGGGGAGAAGCACTGCAGCCGCTCTGTCAGGTGGCAGCAGTGTGCAATACAGACAGATTTATAAAGGCTTTTTAAAATATCTGCGCATGCAGATATTATCAATGAGGTTTATATATATCAGACCTCATAATATTTAATCGGTAACCCCCCCTTTTTAAATAAGAAGACTATGTTTAGCATTGTGTTATGTTCAGAATTAGTACTGACAAGAAATGAATCAAAATCTACTGGAGGGTGAAGATAAACTTTTGGTTTGTGTTTTTGTATTTCTGTTGAGTCAAGGTGTGCCATTAAAACAAAGACAGAAGTGTCGATTTGCACTCCTGATAGCTTACTAAAGTTTTGTAACAGTAAGTATGTAATATGTACACAACAGACACCTTGTTATTTATCTAAATTTATTAAGCAAAAGAAAAAAATAAAGACAAACACCCTGACATTTGCTTTGTGGATTGCTTACTAGATCTCTGTAACAGTAAATATATTTATTTTCACATGAAGTACTATTTTTATCTATCTAAATTTATTCCAGTGTGCCTCGGAAAACATATAGTGGAGTCTCAATACGGCATGGACAACCATTATGTTGACCTCATCCAACTCCTGGTGAACAGTTCCTACACCATCAGGCAGGAACATGTTGCCAGATTACACACCTCACAGCTTGAAAAAGAGCCTGTTTGTTAGAAAAGGACTGAGCTCATTCTCTTCAAAGGCCAATAATTAAACAATACAGAAAAAACACTATACAAAAAATACAGTAACGTACAGAATAACTATGGACTTGCATTTATTATACAAATAACTGTCAATCTTATTATTGAACACAATTTTGTTTTTTATTTTATTTATTTTATTCATTTTTCGTTTATTATGTATTTCTAAATGAGGTTTTCAAAATGATGGTTTAAGCCTTGGTTTTTGTATTGTATTTTGACAACAATTTTAGTATACTTTCTTTTACTTGTTTCGACTACATTGTTAATAAAAATAACATATTTTTAGTTAAAATAATATGGTAAAATAAACCTTTTCTTTCAACTATCTGTGTGTGTAAATGTGTTATAGAGTACATGTAATTCGGGGCTACTCTAAAAAGAAAAAACCTGTTAATCTGGTCAGCATTGTTTACATAATTTGAACAGCCCCATCCCTTTAGTAGACTGTTTCAAGATGGCGTCGCGCTTAGCATATCTTGGCCCCAGCCTCTGGGTAGCCTCTCTAGTAAATATACCTCATTGGATACCATAAAAAGGCCTTTATTACATCTATGGGTTCAGACGGAAGAAGAAGCATCTCTCTCTTTTTTTAGAGCAATAAGAAGAAGCATCTCACTGTTCATAAAACATAAAATAGCTTTGTCAAACGGAACCCCATATGGAAGAGCATTACATTTACCAAATGAAAAGATAGTATTAGAAATTCGGCAAAGTTTAATTAGGATACACAGGATTATTTGGTTGTGTTGGGTACCTGAACATGAAACTGCAGAGAAATTAGCTAAAAGGCTTTGTAGGGAGCAATAACTATTACTATTCCTTTTGGGAAAGGAGAGAGTAAATCAGTTATAAACAGTCAAGCAACAGAAATATGGGGAAAAAAGATGGAAAGAAGACGCGAAAGGAATGTATTTATATGTCAATTCAGTGTTAATTTCAAATAGTGAGAGAAACAGAAGGGAAGAAATGATGATGAGGTTAAGGCCGGGTAGGTCATCTAAATTATGTCATATTTAATTGGGAAGAAAAGTAATAATAAATGTGAGGGGTGTGGAGTGAAAGAAAATGTGGAACATGTATTAATTAACACGTATTAATTAACCTCAGGAACTGCTAATCCAGTTCTACACCGCAGTCATTGAGTCCATCCTGTGCACATCCATAACAGTCTGGTTTGGAGCAGCTACAAGGCAGGACAGGAACAGGCTACAGCAAACAGTGAGGACAGCTGAGAAAGTCATTGGGGCCTCACTGCCCTCCATTCAGGACTTGTATCACGCAAGAGCCAGGAAATGGGCTGAGAAAATCATCACAGACTCCACACACCCGGGTCACAACACGATCCAACTCCTCCCGTCTGGCAGACCCTACAGAACTCTGTCCACTAATCCCCCGGGCCAGGGGTCCTCAACCTTTACAACCAAAACAGCCATATCTGCTGCTTGATGCACTACAGTAATAAAATGTGTCCAGAGCTGCAAAACGAGCTAAAACGATGATTATCAAGTGGTGGTCCGTGGGCCTTTTTGGTAACCTTTACAGCCAGTGGAGGAGACATTATAAAACTAAAAAATGTATGGTGAGTTTTATTATTTGTCTTTATTTTTATACACATCAGAACAAATGAAAAGACCAAATTCATGTAAACAAGAAAATTACTGTATATAGTTTATGCTAAATTTCACAAAAACTATTACAACTGAACTATTCAGGCATATTTTTTTCCAATTCTTGTCGTATATTTAAGTAAACAACATGCAAGCATGAGCTAACATGTTTTACTTTTTGTATTAGTAGTATTGATCACATATTTGCATATAAATTGATTTGTTGTGAGTACAAAAACAAAAATATATATATTCTGTTATGTTTGGCCATATTTTCAAAGAGCCACATGTGGCCCCAGAGCCTCAGGTTGCAGACCCCTGCCCCAGGCCATCACCATCATCAACAGCTGATCATCCATCAGCTAGATCATATATAATATAGAGCAGTGGTTCCCAAACTTTTCAGCCTTTGAACCTCAAAATATAGATACAGATATATCCCAATGTGTATGTGAGAAATACAGACATTGTTCAAATGAGATTATTAGTTGTGTTACTGTTTTTGTGTATTTGACTGTACAAAGACACCCCACACTTTATTTTGGGTGTATGTTTTAGTTAGATTGTTCATTTCTGAGAGTACTGGTATTTACTGAATGTCACTGAATGCACCATGTGGAAAGGTTCTGAAA